TAAGCTCAAACAGAGCTCAAACAAAGTTCAACCACCGCTCAAGACTCAAACAAAGCTCGATCAACATTTAACCACAGCTCAAATAATATTCAACCAAAGCGTCGACAAAAGCTCCTACAATGCTCCAACAAAGATCAATCAAATCTCAAGCAACGCTTAAACACAATTCAAGCACACCTCAAACAAAGCTCTCACAAAACCCAAACGAAGCTCCAACACAGCGCAACTACAGCTCAAACGTAGCTCAGCACAAACTCAAACAAAAGCCCTTTTAAGCTCACGTAAAACTCAAAACGAAGCTTGGTCAACGCTCAACCAATGCTTACACAAAGCTCAACCAAGCCCCAAAGACAGTTCAACATCGCTTCGAATTTAGGGCGGGGAGGGGATCGTTCCCCCCCTGCCAGTTTGGAGCCGGGGGGGAGGGAGTCTATACCTTCCCCCCGCTCAGTTCGAACCGAGGAGGGGGGTTTTGTCCCCCTCCCTTTCGGATGGAGGTCTTTCCTCCAGTTCGAACCAGTTCGAACCGGGGGGCGGGGCGGGTGCTTCTGTGCCCCCTTCCCTCCGGGCAAGGGGGGGTCCCGCCCCCACCTCCTGTTCCCGGGGAGGGGGGGGCGAATTGTACCCCTCCCCCCCGGGGTTCCCGAAGGAGGGGGTGGGGATTTCTCTTGCACAGGGTGTCTAGAGCTCCGACTATTTGATTCCTCGTCGCACCGCACCCCCACCCCCCCCCGCGTCTCTCCTACCCGTCCCCAGCGTTCCCCAGCGGCCCAATGGAACCTCCGCCCAATGCCCCCTCCGCCCATCCCCTGCCCCTTCTCAGTGTTCTCCAGCGGCCCAGTGAAACCTTCGCCCAGTGCCCCCTCCGCCCCGACAATTCAACTCCGCGTCGCACCTCGCCCCCCCCCTTCACCGCCCCTCATCCCCCCATTCCCCAGCGTTCCCCAGCGGCCCAGTGGAAACCCCGCCCGCCGCGTGCCCCCTCCGCCTCCGTTTCAAGCCCCTGGGGAGTTCGTCGGATCCTCTGCAGACTTTTTGGGTGTTTGTTGGAGGCCTCCTGGGAGCATGTTGAAAGTCTAGGAGGCCATCTCGCGGGGACGGGGGGGCGTGGAGCCTACTCGAGCTCGCCCTGTCAAGCCCATCTTGCGGCCCTCGTTGGTCTCTCCTTCTCCGATTTCTCGCGCCCTGTGTCCTTCTCCCGTCCTCCTCCTTCACCTCCTCCTCCTTCCCCCTCCCTGCTGTGCAATAGCCATTGCAAGCGTGCCACTTGTTTTGAATGCGGCCCGACCTTTAACCGATCTCCTTCCAGATGGCCCCAAGACTGCCCCAGAGGCTCTGGCGCGGGCCCCAAGACGGCTCCGAGAGGGGCCCAGGATGCCCCTAAGAGGCCCCCAAGAGGCTCCCAAGAGGCCCCCAAACGGCTCCTAAGAGACCCGCAAGACGTTCCAGGAGGCACCCCAGAGGTACCCAAGACGCCCCGGCCAACAGCATTGAATTCAGCAAGGTTTTGGCCACATACTTGGCCTCGTGAAGGGGGGCCCAATTTGAAACCTCTCCGTTCTTTGATCGATCCCCTCCAAGATGGCCCCCGAGGCACCCAAGGTTGCTCCATGACCGTCCCAAGAAAGGCCCATGACCCAATAGGCCTCAAAGAGGCACCCAAGATGCCCCCAAGAGGCCCCCAAGATAGCTCTAAGAGGCCCCAGGAGGCCCCCCCAGAAGCACCCAAGACGCCCCAAGAGGCCTCGGCGAGAAGGTCAACATCATTGATTGCATAAAGGTTTTGGCCACATTTTGGCCTCCTCGGGAGGGGGGAACTAAGGAGCCCTCCTCCCTTGATTGAATTCTTCCAAAGTGGCCCCAAGATGACCCTCGAGGCTCCCAAGTGTGCCCCAACACTGCCCTTAGAGGTGCCGCCCATGAGGCCCCAGGAGGCCCCCACGATGCCCCCAAGATGCCCCCAAGAGGCTCCCAAGAGACCCCCAAGAGGCCCCAAGAGGCCCCCACGTGGCACCCAAGACGCCTCAAGAGGCCCCCAGGACTGCGAAGAGACCCCCAAGACGCCCCAAGAGGACTCCAAGAGACTCCCGAAAGAAATCCAAAGAGAGTCCAAACGGCATCCAAGAGGCCTACGGCCTTTGTGCTCGCCTTCCTCCTCCTCCTTCTCCTCCTCTTTCTCATACCCCTGTTCCTTCTCCTGCCTCCCTCCTCCCCCTCCCCCATCCCTCCTCCTCCTTTCCTCCTCCTCCTCCGATTCCTCATCCATCCTCCCCCTTTTGGGTACGACGTCTTACCCAGCATTTTATTCCATTGCATTCATCTTGGGAAATGCGGCCGAATTGTCGCGACCCCGATCTCAGCCGAGGCCCCGCCACACATTTACCGTTTCAATGGCGTGCCGCATTATCGCATTTGTTATGATGTATCCGAGGAGTTGCCATTCGTGCACTCTTCTGCCCACGCGTCCTGTCGGATGCATGGCTCAGTGGTGGATTCATCTCCACATCCCTCATCAGAGGAGCTCGTCTGGGTATCGTCTAGATTTGCTGGTAGGGGTTGCACGAAGCATCTAGATTTTCCAGTCAAGCGATGGTAGATTGTGATACCTCCAACATCACTGTCATCATCACCCTCCTCCTACTGATCCTTGTCGTCGTCGTGTTGTCGTCGTTACTATTATAACAACCAGCAGCTTCACCACCATGGTGATAACCACCATCGCCATCATCGTCTTCTGCATCAGCATCAGCATCGGCATCATCATTAATATCGTCCTCATCTACTTGCTAATCCTTGTGGTCATTACCGCCATCGCCATCGCTACACATTACGGTTGCCACCAAGGATAGTAGAGCCATCAGGAACATCCCTACCATCACCACCATCATCACTATCAGCAGCACCTTCATCACCACCATCCACGATCATCATCATCAGCAGCATCGTCACCACCATCATCCTCACCACCATCATCATCATCATCATCATCATCATCATCATCATCATCATCATCATCATCATCATCATCATCATCATCATCATCATCATCCGTACCATTATCAGCAAGATCAACATCATCGTCATTGTCATCCCATCGTCGCCAGCATCACCATCATCACCATCATCACCATCACCATCATCACCATCATCAGTACTATCATGGTCACAATCAGCATGCGGCATGTGATGGTGTTTAGTTAGAGGATGATCATCATCACACTCATCATCGGCACCGTCATCGTCACCGACCATCATTGTCATCACCATCATCCTCGTCGTTATCGTCGTCATCGTCGTCATCTTCAACACCTCCACGTTTCAACACCATCATCGGCAGCATCGCCGTTGCCGTCGGCATTATCATGCTCAACATCCGCACTACTCATCCTTGTTTTCTTGCGTCCTCTAGCCTCCACCTCCAACTCATCCAGGAGGCACCGTGAGACGAAGAAACATGAGCAGCGAGGAGGAGAACGAGGAGGAGGAGGATGAACAGGAGGAGGAGGACGAGGAACAGTGAGGAAGATTGAGTATGAGTGTGTGGTGGGCAAGCGTAGATGTGGGAAGAAACGCGACGAGCGTAGCGTGCATTTGCGGTGGGGAAGAATGGGAGGAGGAGGAGGTGGAGGAGGAGGAGCAGGAATGAATAGGAGTGATGAGGGGCGCGATGAGGCAGGTGCACGCCTATTGTTATCTCTGTTCAGTTTCGATTCTCTTCATGGTTTCCCTGTGCTCGTAGTCGTGGGTTTGTTATTTAATCGCTTCGCTCATTCCGCCGGCCCATATTGTCGCACCGTTGTGGGCTAGCCGAGTTTTGGGGCCTCTTGGGGGCCGTTTTGGGGCCTCTTGGGGCCTCTTTTGGGCCTCTTGGGCGCCTCGTTGGGGGTTCTTGGGGGCCTCTTGGGGGCCTCTTGGGGCCTTTTTGGGGCCTCCTGGGCGCCTTCTGGGGCGGAGGGCTCGATTTTTCAGTTCTCGGTTCTCCTCTTGAGCCCCTCTTGGGCCCGTCTTGGGGCCTCTTGGTCCGTCTTGGGCGGCACTTGGGCCGTCTTGGGGGCCCTCCTGGGCCGTTCCGGGGCCGTCTTGGGAGCCTCGTGGGCCGTCTTGGAGCGGTCTTGGGGGCCTCTTGGGCCGTCTTGGAGCGTCCGGAAGCCGAAAAAGCCAGAACGCAAAAAACATAAAAAAACAATGAAAATCAACGATTTTGGCCTCTTGGGGCCCTCTTCGGAGGCCTCTTGGAAGGCCCTTGGGGCGTCTTGGAGGCCTCTTGGGCTGTCTTGGGGCCCTGTTGGGCGTCTTCGGGCGATCTTTGGCCGTCTCGGGGCCCTCTTGGACCGTCTTGGAGGCTTCTTGGGGACCTCTTGGCCCGTCCTGGGGCCCTGTAACAGAACTCCGGCATCTCTGACCCGACCTTGCCGGGACCTTGCCGGGGTACTTTTCGTCCGGGGACCCCCAGGGGCCGCCCCGCGCGCGCGAACTAGAAATACTGTTAACCAGGTACCGGAGATCTTAGCACGCCCTGGCCCGTTGGGCCGGCGAATTTTCATGAGGAGCCCCCTCGATCATGGATTGGTGGAGGTCAAGTGAGAGCCATTGAAAACGGGGGCGCGATGAGAAGGAGTGAGGACGAGCGAGAAGGAGCGCAATGCCCAGGCAAACCATAGCCGTAGAGGAGGCAGGGGGACTACAGTGGAGACCCATGCCAAGAAACTCCCTGCTTGCCTCCAGGGTGCCCTGGGTTTATTGGTTTCGATGGTTTTGCAATGGAAATCTCGACGTTCCCATTTCAGATATCAGCTGACGTCCTGGGTTCTCATGGTTTGGTTTCTTGTGAAAGGTTTCTTGTAGACTGTCCTCCACTGTAGGGTGGAGGGCGCGGGGGCGAGGCCAGGGAGGAAGCCAAGGCGCGCATGGCCGCAGCTATTTTGTTTTTTCGAGCACGAGCCGCTCGACGCAAGGCCGAATCTTGAGCGTCCCCTCTGGCAGCCCCGAGCCTGTCCGCCATGGGCAGCTCCGCCCTCGTCCTGGCCCTTGGCCTGCTGCCCGCCCTTGCGAGCGGGCACGCGTTTCTCACCAAGCCCGAGATGCGCGGCGGGGCCTCTGGCAACGTCGACAACGGCTACTGCCCGCAGTGCCTGGGGTCCACCGACCTTCCGATGGCGACCTGCGGGAACGCCCACTTCCTGGACGCGGTCGGCCCGGTCACCGAGCTGCGGGCGGGGGAGCTTGCCGAGTTCGCGATCACCGTCACCGCCCACCACAAGGGGCACTTCGTCTTCCGGCTCTGCGACCATCGCCTGGACAGCCAGGCCGGTGGCTACCAGGCGCAGGAGGATTGCCTGAACGAGCACGTCCTGAGCCGGGCCAGGCCAGAGGAGGTCCACGCGGACTGCCAGCGAGACGACCCACGCGGCGATTGTCAGCCCTACGACGAGGCTAATCCTGGACATTGGTACCTCCCACCCCATAGCGGGTCCCACCTCGACCGAGCGCAGCACCGCTTCCACTACTGGATCCCCGCCGACCTCACGTGTGAGAGCTGCACGCTGCAGTGGTGGTGGATGAGCGCGAACAGTTGCACGCCGCACCCAGACGCCTACAAGTGCTATTTCCAGGAGATTCGGATGCAATTCCTGGGAGGTCAAATGCTGATTCTATAGGCTTACGCCACATCCGCCGACCCTTATATAAACTACTGCGCCTCCAGGACTGCATTTCACGAGGCTTGTCCGAATCAGGACACGGCACTCGACATCGTTCCTGTTGCCTCGTTGCTGTTATCGTATCTGTTGGTGCTCTTTTGCGGCCTTTTGGTGGCATCGTGGCCTGTCTGCAGGCCATATCCGGCCGCCTCGAGGCATCTTGGGCCAAGTTTTGGGGCCTCTTGGGGGCTTCCTGGGGGCTTCTTGGAGGCCTTTGAGGGTCTCTTGGGGGCCCTCAGGGCCTCTTGGGTTGTTATTGGGGCAGGCTGGGGGCGTCTTGGGGCCGAAGGCTCGAAAAGGTGCCCTCTGGGCTCCGTCTTGGAGCCGTCTGGGGGCCCTCTTGGGTTGTCTTGGGGTCTTCTCTTCGACCCTTCTTGGGGGCCCCTTTGGCCGTCTTGGGGCGATATTGAAGGTTTCTCTGCCCGTCTGGGACGTTGTGAAAACCGAGCAGGCGAACATGCGACACATGTTGTTTTTTCGAAGGGAATGGGGCGATTTTTGTTTCCTGGGACTCTCTTGGGGCGCATTTTGGAGCCTTTTGGGGCGTCTTGGCAGCTTCGGAGGCCGCCTGGAGGCCATCGTGGGCGTCCAGGGCGATATTTCGGCGAATCGTGGCCCCTTGGGACCGTCTGGGGAGCGTTTTGGTGGCTTCTTGGCAAGTTTTGGAGCCCTCCGCTCCCCCGTGACGCGTTCGGTCCGGGGTCGGGCTGGGCGAGGGGGGGGGCGTCGAATTCCCGGTTTCGGGTCCCTGGGGGGGATTATGGGGGGGATAATCTCACACGCCTAGAGACCCACAAGGGGTCGGCGGATTATGATGATGATGGTGCTGGTGATGATCTGTTCTGGTGATGGCAATGCTGATGCTGATGTTGCAGTTGCGGAGTACGATGATGGTCATGCTGTTGATAATGTTGATGAGGATGATGATGCTGATGATTATGATGCTGCTGATGATGATGATAATGCTGATGATGATGATGCTGCTGATGATGATGATGCTGCTTATGCTGGTAATTGTGCTGATGGCGACTGTGCTGCTTCTCATGACGAGCATGGTGATGCTGTTGTGAGTGATGATTACCATCTCGTTGACCATGACGATACTGAGGATACTGATGCTATTGGGGGGGCGAGCGGCGAGAGATGGCGGGCAGGCGGTGCGACGAGGTCGAAGGGGGACGCCGCAGAAGCAGTTTAGTTTGGGACCGTGGTCGGGCAGTTCGGCGTAGAACCGATGGGTTCCGGGCACCCCTGCGGGTGTGCCCGTTGAACCGTTCGGTTCCGTCGAGCTTTCCTGTAAATCCTCGTTGAACTAGCGGTTCCGAGCACCCGCATGGGTGCTCGTTGAACCGCGGGTTCCGGGCATGTGGCCACGCAGAAAGCCTCGTGCACGTCATCGTTGTCGTCGTCCTGTTCGTCGTCGTCGTCGTTATTGTTCGTCCGCGTTTGAAGGTTGCGGTTTTGAGAGGTTGTCGCGGGGCCCGTGGACGTTCAGAACACGATGTTGAGAGCTTCGACATGTCACGATGGAAGGGTTCTGGGGGGGAGACGGACCCGCGGGAAAGTCCAGGAGAGTCGTCCGTGCCATGGGGAAGGTAGGGGTGGGGAGGGCGACGACAACGACAACGACGACGGACGCCGACGACGATTGTTACAACGATGGCGGCGGCGACCGCATAGACGACGACGTCGTGGGAGAAGTGCTCATGTTCTTTGATGGGCGACAATCGTCGCAAAGGGGGATGCGGGGGAGAGCGGGCTTACGTGGCATATCTCCCCCCCAGAACCCTTCCATCGAGGAGGCGGAGGAGGAGGAGGAGGAGGAGGAGGAGGAGGAGGAGGAGGAGAAGGAGGAGGAGGAGGAGGAGGAGGAGGATTGGGAGGACAGTAGGAGTAGAGTGATCGGAAAGGCGGAGGAAGTGAGGGGATGATGTTGAGGAGTATGGAGGAGATATGAGGTAGTAGGATGAGCAGTATTAGTAGGAGGTCGGCGTTAGGAGGAGGTCGATTCTAAGTCTTATGAGTAGTGAGTTCTTACTCTTATTTAGTATTAGAGGGGTGGGGGAGAAGCAGTGATGAGAGCAATATTATTAGGCGGTTTCATGTACGCGTTTTTGCTGCAGTTCATCTGGCGTAGGGAGTGATGCTGTGATGAGTGCTCATGTATATGATGGCTAGTGAGGCTGTGATGATTGGGAGTATGACGTAGTATGTAGAAGACGTCATGGAGTAGATATTCTTACTTCTTCCGTTACGTCTAGGTGTCGTGAGGATGATCCTATGAGGAGGAGGACAATGACGAGGACAAGGAGGAAGGATATGGACGATACCGAAGGGCGAGGGGAAGGAGGAGGAGAAGGAGGAAGAGGAGGAGGAGGAGGAGTAGGAAGGAGGCGGAGCAGGAGGAGGAGGGGGAGGAGGAGGAGGAGGAGGCGGAGGAGGAGGCCTCTTGAGGCTTGGGACGGCATGGTTGGCGCGCACTGCAGGTAGTACATATTGTATATTATAATGTAGAATTAACCACGTGAGATATGCGCCTTTCGGCCGGATGCAGACTTGCTTTGCCTTGCCTCCTTCTCCTCCTCCTCCTCCTCCTCCGCGTTCACGAAGTATGAATTCCAGAGAAAGGACAGGCCGGCGTTCTGTAAAGAGTGTACGGATGAAATGAAAAGCGGCGGCGAAAAATGGTGCACAACGTGCAGAGGGTGGGCATCGAAAGCAGAGGGTGATGACGCCGCGCGCCATGGTAGCGGTCGGAACGCGGATGCTGCTACCGACGACGGGCACGCGAAAACGGTTAGGACAATGTACTGCGCGAAGTGCAGCCATGTCAAAGCCAAGCAGAAGTCGCGGAAAGGCAACGCGAAGTGGAACGAGAGCGTCGGAACAGTGCGATGTTCGAGCAAGACGTGTCTGAAACTGTTTGAAGAGCAGGCGGAAATGTCGAATGCACAGAAGAAGCACAATGCTGCGGGGGAGAGGCTCTGTCGGAAATGCGCGGAGGAGCGGGAGAAGACGGTTACGCGGACGAATTGCGAGGCAGGGAATCGCAAACGGAAAGCGGAGGCGGACGCGAAGCCGCTGACGTGCGCGGCGTGCGGAGGAGCGTTCTCGAACACGACACATTTGAAGCACAACCAAGTAAAAGAACATCGAGCTGCGAAAGGAGCGAAAGTAGTGTGCGGAGGTTGCAAGGAACTCGGGTTCACAGCGCGCAGTTGCCAGGCGTATCAGTGCAGTGGCGCGTGCAAGAGAAGACTACCGAAGTCGGCGTTCGCCGTGAACCCAGCCCATGTCGCGCGCGATGCCAAAAAGGGCACCCTGAAATGCAAGACTTGCACATGATGCCCAATGCGTCGTTCGGTGAGTCGGAACTCGTTTGGGCCGTCTGGGGGGGGGGGGGGTCTCTTGGGGCCCGAGTGGAACGCCGTCGGGGGCACGCGCCCAGGGGGAAAATCATCTGTAACAGGCTGCGGTCGGGGGGTGGCGGAGGAGGGAGGGGGAGGAGGGGGGGGAGGGGGAGGGGGAGGGGGAGGAAAAGGAGGAGGAGGATGGAAGGGGAGGGGGATAAAGGGGAGGGGGGATGTGGGAAAACGAACGGAGCAGAGCAAAAGCGAGAGCTGGCCAGGGAGAGGAGGACAGACAGCGTTGTTCGGCGCGAGCCCTGGCTTCCCCCTTTCCTCTGGGGCTGCGGCCGCGCGCCGCTGGCGGGGTCGGAGCCGCGGTTTCCTCCCGCACTTTTCCTCCTCCCCCCCTCCTTCTTCTCCTCCGGTTTTTCCTCCTCCTCGTCCTCGTCATCCTCCTCCCCGTCTTGCTTCTCGTCCTTTTCCTTCTTCCCCTTCTCCTGCCATTCTTCCCCCTCCCCTTTTTTCTTCGTCGACCTTTTCTGGAGGTCTGGGTCTCGCCCTCTCTCTCTCTCTCTCTCTCTCTCTCTTTCTCTCTTTCCTGTCCTCCTTTCGGGGGCGGCCCTCCTCCCCCTCCTCTTTTTGAAATGCTATCGAGTGGCGCATGATCGTCTTCTTGTTTTTGAAGTTCAGTTGCGTGGACGCCAATCTGCTGTCCAACTCCTCGAGCGAGAATGGTTCAGGCTGTGCTGCCCGCACAGTGCCATTATATTTGATACATCCCCGCCTAGTCAGTCCAGGGTGAGGTTCCCCAAACAGCTGCTGCCTGTCTACCTGGCCCTTCGGCCTTCCTTGCTTCGTCGCTCTCTCTGCTCCGCATTCCTGTCCTCTTCCTGTTTTGTTTGCTTTGTTGTCGCACGGGTATGTGGCCCTGGCCATCACCTTATACATCCTTCTCCTCTGGCTGTGAGTTGGGATTTTGAGGGCGTCCACTCAGGGGCGCAGCCAATTGGACTGCAGGAGGCCTTCGTGTACGTGGGGCCGTTGCGCGGTCAAAAAATATATATCCTACTGGCCTTCGGCACATCCCGCCACCGTGCCTGCGTTGTGGGTATAAGGCCTCGTGGATGTTGGTTGCGATCTCGCGGTTGGCCTTTCGGGGGCTTCTGTGAGGCAGTTTTGGGGGCTTTTGGGGCCGTTTGGGGGCATCTTGGGGCCTCATTTGGGCCGCCCGGGGGCCTCCTGGGGCGTCGTAGGGGGCTCTTGGGGGCCCTTTGGTGCCTCTTTGGGGCCTCTTGGGGCCTCCTGAAGGCCTCCTGAAGCGGAAGACTCGAATTCTCACTTCGCGGTCCCCCTCTTGGGCACCTCTGGGGCCCGTATTGGGAACCTCTTGGGCCGTCTTCGGCGGCTCTTGGGCCGTCTTCGGGGCCTCTTGGGCCGTCTTGGGGCCGTCCTGGGGGCTTGGGCCGTCTTGGGGCGGTATTGGGGGCCTCTTGGGCCGTCGTGGAGCGTCGGAGTACCGAAAGGGCGAGAAGGCCAAAATCCTTTGAAAACCAAGGGAAAATGAATGATTTTGGCCTCTCGGCGGCCTTTTGGGAGGCTTTTGGAGGCCTCTTGTGGCGTCTTGGCGGCCTCTTGGGCCGTCTGGGGCGCATCTTGGGCATCTTGGGGCGTTCGTTTGGCGTCTCGGGACCCTCGTGAGCCGTCTTCGAGGCTCCTTAAGGCTTCCTTGGCCCGTCTTCAGGCCCTCTTGGGGCCGTCTTGGGGCCTCTCGGGGCCTTCGTGGCTCGTTTTGATCCCCTTGTGGGCACCAAAGAGCCCCGTGGTGCGCTCGTCTGCGGCCCGGGGGGGGGGGGTCAAATCGCCGGTTTGGGGCCCCTGGGGGGGGGGGGGTGAGGGGGGGGAACTATCTCACACGCCTAGAGACCCACAAGGGGTCGGCGGACTTTGCCCTGTTCCAGAACCTGGTTTAATCCGGATCATTGCCGCTGAATCCCGCTTAATCCGGGTTAAACCCGCTTAATCCGCGGCCTAAACCGGCGTAGTAGCCCCCCCCAATGGGGGTTAATCCTCCTCAGGCTTTTCGACGAAGACCTCCCAGTAGTTGTTTTCGAAAGGAGATGGAGCGGCAGGGGTGGGACGCGAGCGCGTGGTGCGATGGCGTGTGCTCCTACCAGGGCGAGTGCCCAGCGGAGCAGAGCGCCCCCGTGCTCTGCGGCGAGCAGTTCAAAAACTGCGCGGACGTCCGGGTGGTGGGGGGCGGAGCCACCAGGGGCCCCACGCCCGCACCAGCGCCCACTCCTGTCTCGGCTCCGACCGGCGCGCCGACCTCCTCGCCGACCGCGCCGTCAGGCAGCGCGTGCGTGCAGAATCTGAACTGCGCCGTGAACGACTGGTGCGCCGATTCCACCTACGCCGGCTGGTGTCCGCTGCACCCCGCGGGGGACTGCCCCTCGCCGCAGTGCGTCGCGAGCAGCCCCGCGCCGTCTCCAGAGCCAGAGCCGGGGCCCGTGCCAGAGACCGAGGGGAGCAGGCAGCTGGTCGCGTTCGTGGAGAATTGGTTGCCGTGCCCGAGCCTGGACAAGGTCCAGGGCTACGACAAGGTCATCGTCTCCTTCGCGGTCAGCTACGCGTGGAACCCTGTGAAGAACCAGTGCGATCAGAGCTGCACCATCGGAATGCCCGCCACGTGCGACAACCAGGCCAAGCCGGACCTGATCGCGGCGTGGCGGCAGGCGGGCACCAAGGTCTTGCTCTCGTTCGGCGGCGCGGGCATGGGCGGGAGCTGGGCGGGCGACGTGAACGACTGTTGGGAGCACTGCTTCGGGAGGGTGGACAGCGTGGTGAGCCGCCTGGTGGAGATAATCGACAGCCAGGGCTTCGACGGCGTAGATATCTAGCTGCCTGCGGCAAACCCCGCCGCCGCACCAGCGCAAAACCGGGCGTGGAAGAGGTTGAGTTTCAGAAACGCTCCAGTCCAGAAAGAGCGCTCAACTGGAGCGGGTCTTCTACAACCTCCTCCTCATCTTCGTCCTCCCTCCTGCTGTTCCTGCTTTTCCTCCTGTGCCTGTTCTTCCCTCTCCCCCGCCCGCCGTGGGGGCTTGCTGTTCTCTGGGGCCTCTCGAGGGCCTCTCGAGGGCCTCTTGGGGGCCCCTGGGGGGCCTCGGCCTCTGGGGATCTAGTACCTTGTGTGGGTATCTTGGAGGGCACTGCTCCCAAGGGCAGTGCAAGTTCCCTTTCCTGGGGCCCTCGAAGGGCCCTCTTGGAGGGCTTCTGGGGCCGTCTCAAGGGGGCTCCTGGTTGTTTGTAACTCTCTGAGACCATCTCGGGGCCCTTTCGGGGTGCCATTTCGGAGACGATCCTGCGGACCTCTTTTGCCGTCTTGGGTTTTCGGAACCCTGAAAGGGCGAGTGCGCTGACGTTCGTTTTCGCTTCTTGACGGCCTCCTGTGCGCGCTTTTGGAACCGTCTTGGGCCTTGTTGGGGTCCTTTGGGGGCCTCTTTGGGGTGCGTTGGGGGTCCGGGGCCTGAGCCTCTTGGGGATCTAGGGCCTCGTGGGGACATCTTGGAGGGAAATGCTCCCAATGGCAGTGAGAGTGCCCTGTCTTGGGGCCCTCTAGTGACTCTCTTAGGGGGCCTCTTGGGCCGTCTCAGGGGGACTCTTTGGCCTTTTTGCAACCCGCTGAGACAGTCTCGGGGCCCTTCTGGGGTGCCAATTCGGAGACGATCCCACGGACCTCCTGGGCCGTCTTGGGCTTTCGGAAGCCCGAAACAGCGAGTGCGCTGACACTCACTTTCCTTTGTTGACGGCCTCCTGGGCGCGCTCTTGGAGCCCTCTTGAGCCTTCCTGGGGACCTTTTGGGGCCTCTTTGGGGCATGTTGGGGGTCAAGGAAGGCCGTCTTGGATGGATGGGGCGTGCTCCCCAAGCCAATGCGAGATGGGGCCATTTTCGGTGCCAGTTAGGGCATCCTGGGGCGGTCTTGCCGGCCTCTTGGCCTCGTGGGCCGTCGTGGGTTTTTGAAAACTCGAAACAGCGACTATGCTCTTACGCGCCCCAGCGCGCCCATGGCACGGTGGCGGATCGACTACGAGTACGACCACTCGACACGTCCAGCCAGTTCCTGAGGGACTTGACCACGGGGCTTCGTACCGCGCTGCCTGCTGGGAAAATCATTTCCCACGCGCCCATGGATGGGGACATCGTCGCTGGGGCGCCGTACTTCCGCGTCCTCCAGGAAGTCGCTTCCATCGTCGACTACCTGTTGCCTCAGTACTACAACGGGCCGCTCAGGCCCGCGATCGACACCCAGCCCGCCATAGAGCACATGGGGCACCTGGTGAACGACATCTTCGGCGGCGACGCCAGCAAGGTCGTGTTTGGCTTCTGCATCTCCGACTGCTCTGGGACCGGCAGCAACGTGAACAGCGCCCAGGCCGCCTCCATCCTCCAGGACGTCGCCGCGGCGTTCCCCAGCTACGGTGGGGCCTTCCTGTGGGCCGCTTCCGACGATGCTGGCTGGTCCGAGCCAGTGCGGCAGGCGCTGGGCTCCGCGCCCAGCGTGGCGCCGACGCCCACGCCGGCGGTGCCAACGCCAGCGCCCACGGAGGCGCCCGCGACCCCGTCGCCCACGCCGGCGGCGCCAGCGCCCACGCCGGCGCCCACGGAGGCGCCAGCGACCCCGTCGCCCACGCCGGCGGCGCCGACGCCGACGCCGGCGCCCACGGAGGCGCCCGTGACCCCGTCGCCGACGCCGGCGGCGACGACGCCGACGCCGGCGCCCACGGAGGCGCCCGTGACCCCGTCGCCCACGCTGGCGGCGCCGGCGCCGACGCCAGCGCCCACGGAGGCGCCCACGACCTCCCCCACCGCGTCCGGCGGGCAGCCCAGCGTCTGCGAGGCTGCCGTGAGCCACCACGGCGAGGCCTGGGACTTCGCTGGGCCCTGCTCCGCGTGCCTGGCCGGGAACAACGTCTGCTACGACGACCCCGAGCATAGTTCTCAGAGCCTCTGCTCGCGGTGGCCCGCGAACGTATGGTGCGGGGGGGCGTCGCTCGTGGAGTCTCGCCGCGGCAGGCGCAGGCCGCGCGCCTTCTTGGGCACGGCGCTGCTCCAGACCGTGTGTCCTCTGTCGCGCGCCTCGCCCGGCGAGGGGCTCCAGGCTTGAGAGCCCGGCCGTCTTTTGCTTGAGGGGGGACAGAGGAGCCCCTCTCCGAAACGTCGCTTCGCAGTTGCCGCCCACCAGTGCCGGCATGAGCGTCGCGGCGCACCCGTCGTCGCCCTCTGCATGCAGCGTTTTGGCGGCGCTCTCGAGACAGGGCCCGCCCCCAGGCTGGCGCCCGTGCGATCGGGGCCCTCCGTCGTCTTTGAGGACGAAGGCAGCAAGAACAGAGCGAGCCAGAAAGAAACGATGGGAGGCGAAGGCGCAACAGCGTGGGCGCGATCTGGAGCAACAGCGGCTTGTTGACGCCAGTAGTATATCCCCGTCAGCCCATCCAAAAGCAGTGCCCAGGCAAGCCGTGGGGAGATCGGACGTGCGTCAAGTTTTGAAGCGTATGTAGCGCAAGGCACTAGGGCCAAAAGGATGGATCGTAAATGCTTCACGTACCCCCACCAGCCCATATAGAAACGATCCCCAGTCGTTTGCCATGATCTGTGCAATCATGTGACCGCATCAAGCAATTAAGAACCCCCCCCTTCTCCGGCGAAAGTATAACGCACCTGGCACCCCAGAAGCGTTACCGTGGCACCTTGCACCTTTATGTGAACGCAGACGAGTCTGCTCCCCGAAACAAGCAAACCGCCTGAGACATTCTCGCAATATGGTCTCCTGGAAGTTCTGAAACAAGCGCCTCGCATGAGACATCCCCAGGAACTGCTCTGGACGCAGACGAGTCTGCGTCAGTTGGTCGGTCTGGGCGAGAACTGGAGTGGCCGCGCGTCTTCCCAGCGCTCGGCCTTCCGAGCAGGGGTCCTCTTCCTCTTCCTCTTCGCCCTTTTCAGGCGTCCTCCTCCTATTCCTCATCAGGGGTCCTCCTCTTTCCCCTCCTCCTCCCCCCCGTAGCCATTTTGGCTCTTATTCGCCATTACGGATCAAGCCGAGGGCCAAGGCCTCAGTCAAGAGGCCTTGGTCCAGCTAAACAGAAAAAATCCTCCTCCTCCTCCTCGAGATTCCCTTACGGCACGGCACCAACACGAACAACGGCAATAAAACCAGCAACGATAATGATATCTAGAACAACAAGGCCAATCACAGCAGCACTAGCAACAACATCAACATCAAAATCACCAACAACACCGCCAACACCAACAATAACAACATTAAGTCCCACGCAAGGGAGAGCCCAGCTTTGAAAAGGAACCGTCCGTACCTACGATGGGGGGCGAATCATTTTGACGGTGCGGGTGCTAAGATAACGCCCCGTTCGTGGCGGGGACGATATCTTCGGATGCACACTACCCCAAACGACGGCCAGGAAACAACATTTTTTCAATCGGGGTAGTACTAAGACTTGTATGTGACAAGTATGATGAAGAAAATGACAAAAAAGATGGAGGGAGGAAAGAAGCAGGGGAGCCCGTCAGTTTTCGAACTTGTGCTCTTATTATTATCCTTACTTTTTTTCGTATTCTTATTACTACTATTCGTCTTATTCTTAGCTGTTCTATTAGTATTATCGGTCCTATTGTACTTCTAGTCTTTTTTGACAAGCTGTCGTAGTTATTTTATGCGGGTGTGGTGCTAAGATAACGCGCCGTGCGTGGCGAGGGCGATATCCTTGGATGAACTACCCCACACGACGGCCGGGAACAAACACTTTCTCAACAGGGGTGGTAATACAAACCATATAGGACAAGGATGCTTCAGAGAATGATAAACAGCCTGCATTCTTATTCGGAATCTTTTTTTAAAATACTTTCTCTTTTGTTAATTATATTTCTAATTCTGATTATTGTTTTATTTTTACTATACGTATTCTTATCATTATTTTTGTTAGTATTATTCGGATTCGGATTCTGACTCATATTATTACAATGCTTACTTTTACTTCTTACTCATATTCTTACTACTATTATTCTTACGCTCGCTCTTATCCTTATGCTTATCCTCCTTATCCGTATACTTAGCATGATCATTATTATTATTATCATTATTATTTTCATTAGTATGCGGATTATGATTCACATCTTTATTATCACTATTGTTCCCAACCATCCTGTGGTGTTGGGTCCTCGTTTTGAAGAGACAGCGCCCCGCGTCCACTCCTCCCGCTGCCCCCTTCCTCCTCTTCATCCCTGCGTTTCACCCACCGCTTCGTGGCCCCATAGGGAGCTCCACCGAAGGCCCCACTGGCAGGGTTCGCATGGCGGCCTCGGGCCATTTCGGCACACCCCTCACGAAGATCGTGGCCCCATAGGGAGCTCCACCGAAGGCTCCAGTGGCAGGGTTCGCATGGCGGCCTCGGGCCATTTCGGCACACCCCTCACGAGGATCGTGGCCCCATAGGGAGCTCCACCGAAGGCTGCAGTGGCAGGGTTCGCATGGCGGCCTCGGGCCATTTCGGCACACCCCTCACGAGGATCGTGGCCCCATAGGGAGCCCCGCCGAAGGCGCCAGTGGCAGGGTTCGCATGGCGGCCTCGGGCCATTTCGGCACACCCCTCACGAGGATCGTGGCCACATAGGGAGCTCCACCGAAGGCCACCAATGGCAGGGTTCGCATGGCGGCCTCGGGCCATTTCGGCACACCCCTCACGAGGATCGTGGCCCCATAGGGAGCTCCACCGAAGGCCCCAAGGCAGGGTTCGCATGGCGGCCTCGGGCCATTTCGGCACACCCCTCACGAGGATCGTGGCCCCATAGGGAGCTCCACCGAAGGCGCCAGTGGCAGGGTTCGCATGGCGGCCTCGGGCCATTTCGGCACACCCCTCACGAGGATCGTGGCCCCATAGGGAGCTCCACTGAAGGCGCCAGTGGCAGGGTTCGCATGGCGGCCTCGGGCCATTTCGGCACACCCCTCACGAGGATCGTGGCCCCATAGGGAGCTCCACCGAAGGCCCCAGTGGCAGGGTTCGCATGGCGGCCTCGGGCCATTTCGGCACACCCCTCACGAGGATCGTGGCCCCATAGGGAGCTCCACCGAAGGCGCCAGTGGCAGGGGTCGCATGGCGGCCTCGGGCCATTTCGGCACACCCCTCACGAGGATCGTGGCCCCATAGGGAGCTCCACCGAAGGCGCCAGTGGCAGGGTTCGCATGGCGGCCTCGGGCCATTTCGGCACACCCCTCACGAGGATCGTGGCCCCATAGGGAGCTCCACCGAAGGCGCCAGTTCGCATGGCGGCCTCGGGCCATTTCGGCATACCCCAGCTCCACCGAAGGCCCCCAGCAGTTCGCATGGCGGCCTCGGGCCCGCACACCCCTCACGAGGATCGTGGCCCCATAGGGAGCTCCACCGAAGGCGCCAGTGGCAGGGTTCGCATGGCGGCCTCGGGCCATTTCGGCACACCCCTCACGAGGATCGTGGCCCCATAGGGAGCTCCACCGAAGGCGCCAGTGGCAGGGTTCGCATGGCGGCCTCGGGCCATTTCGGCACACCCCTCACGAGGATCGTGGCCCTATGGGGAGCTCCACCGAAGGCCCCAGTGGCAGGGTTCGCATGGCGGCCTCGGGCCATTTCGGCTCACGAGGACCGTGGCCCCACTGGAGCTCCACCGAAGGCGCCAGTGGCAGGGTTCGCATGGCGGCCCCGGGCCATAGCGGCACATCCCTCACGAGGATCGTGGCCCCATAGTTGCGCTGCTTCAACAACCGCGCATGGGCGTCGTACTCCGCCTTGTCGACGTGCAACGCCACCTCCTCCCTCATGGCTCTCAAGGCCTTCTCCTGCTTCTGCTCCTCGGTGAGAGGGACGCCGTCCTTGTCGTCGTCGGCGCCCGCGAAGACGGCCACGAACGTGTCCCTGAGCATGTCGGGCTCCGGCGGGAAGCCGTGGCCACATAGGGAGCGCAGGCGAAGATGGCATTCACAATTGCGGCATTCACAACTGCATATGGTTGGGTCCTTCGCCAGGATAATTATTATTTTTCGGGTTCTGATTCTGATTCTTCTTCTTCTTCTTCTTATTGCTTTTTGTCATTATTAAATTGTCCCAACCATCCTGTGGTGCTGGGTTCTCGTTTTGAAGAGACAGCGCCCCGCGTTCCTTCCTCCTCCCGCTGCCCCCTCCCTCCTTTTCGCATCATCGTCATCATCATCATTATCAACATCAAAATAATTATCATAATCATCACAATCATCATCACCATCACCATCACCATCACCATCATCATCAGCATCAGCATCAGCATCAGCATCATCGCCATCGCCATCGCCATCGTCATCATCATCATCATCATCATCATCATCATCATCATCATCATTCTCGGCACCGCCCCATTTTGGTACACCCCATTTTGGCACCTCTCACAAGCATCGTGGTCCCATAGGAGCTCCACAGAAGGCGCCAGTAGCAAAGTTCGCATGGCGGCCTCGGGCCATTTCGGCACACCCCTCACGAGGATCGTGGTCCCATAGGAGCTCCACAGAAGGCGCCAGCAACAAAGTTCGCATGGCGGCCTCGGGCCATTTCGGCACACCCCTCACGAGGATCGTGGTCCCATAGGAGCTCCACAGAAGGCGCCGGTAGCAAAGTTCGCATGGCGGCCTCGGGCCATTTCGGCACACCCCTCACGAGGATCGTGGCCCCATAGGAGCTCCACCGAAGGCGCCAGTGGCAAAGTTCGCATGGCGGCCTCGGGCCATGTCGGCACACCCCTCACGAGGATCGTGGCCCCATAGGTGCTCAACCGAAGGCGCCAGTAGCAGGGTTCGCATGGCGGCCTCGGGCCATTTCGGCACACCTCGCGAGGATCGTGGCCCCACAGGGAACTCCACCGAAGGCGCCAGTGGCAGGGTTCACACGGCGGCCTCGGGCCATTTCGGCACACCCCTCACGAGGATCGTGGCCCCATAGGGAGCTCCACCGAAGGCGCCAGTGGCAGGGTTCGCACGGCGGCCTCGGGCCATTTCGGCACACCCCTCACGAGGATCGTGGCCCCATAGGAGCTCCACCGAAGGCGCCAGTGGCAAAGTTCGCATGGCGGCCTCGGGCCATGTCGGCACACCCC